ATCACGTTCGAGCAGAACGTCCAGCCATCTGGCACGAAATCCCTCGTGCCCCACCAGAAGCAGTCACAGACCCACACGGCGAACGCCGTCTGCTTTACACTAGTGAGCGCGGACACCTGGTACAGGAGGCTTGGATATCTCAATGCTCGGAGCCTGGACATCCTTCGGAAGGACACGCGTACCGGGGTGGACTATCGCGACAGTCTCTCTCCTTANGTGCAAGATCACCGACGACTACACGAAGATGAAAGAAGTGTACCTGCTTCGCAAGAAATCTGACACGACCGAGGCGGTGCACACGTACAACATGTGCGTCGCAGCGGCAGGAGGCTACCGGATCGAGACCATCCGCTGCGACAAGGGAGGCGAGAACACCGGATCCGAATTTCGGGACTACTGCAAGAATTCAGCTATCAAGCTCGAATACGCCGCCACCAGCACCCCTCAACAAATTGGTGCAGCAAGGAAATGGACAATCTGCGGAAACACAACGTCTACAATCTGGTGCCCCTCAGCAGCGTTCCCACGGGAGAGAAGATCCTCGGAACGAAATTCGTCTTCAAGAAAAAGCTGGACGGACGCTTCAAAGCTCGCCTGGTAGTCGGAGGACATCGTCAAGAGCCAGGACAGGACTACGGACGCAGCTACGCACCAGTATGCCGTATCGGGAGCATTCGCATGACGTGCGCCATTGGCTGCCACAACAACTGGCCCATCTACCAACTAGACGTTGTCGGTGCCTTCCTGAACGCCTCTGCGACAGAGATGTGTACGTCAGACCCGCCCCCGGTACATCCGACAAGAACTCCGCGACGGGAGAACCCATGGTGTACAAACTAGAACGGAGCCTCTACGGCCTATCGCAGTCGCCTGCGCTCTGGAACGACACCCTGGACGAATCCCTCACGGTGTTCGGATGGAAAAGGACTCAATCCGACCCCTGCGTGTACGTGTATACCAGCGGCAACATCATCGTGATTCTCACGGTCTACGTAGACGACATTCTCATCACAGGAGGAGACCAGCAGCTCGTGGACCAGAAGAAGATGGAGCTCACGGATCGATGCAAGATGACCGACATGGAAGAGGTAAAGCGGATCCTCGGGATCGACGTGCAGCGGGACTACGAGCAAGGAACCCTGGCCATTTCACAGGAGCACTACGTGAACACACTTCTGGAGCGGTTCGGAATGCAAGAGGCCAACCATTCTTCTCGAATACCGGATAAATAAGCCAATCACACGACAGATCCAGAATGGTTCCAGAATGATTTCTGGAAGCCCTCCTACATTCTAGAAGAGTGGCAGCTGCAACCTAGATCTAGAACGCTTCCTGAAGCTTTCAGAAGGTTTCAGAAGTTTCCAGAAGAGGGCTTCCAGAAGCTACACACGTTCTACGTAGATGTCCCGGTCAACCTTGACCTAGCATGCTTGCTTCCGGAATATTTCTAGAAAAAGAGAATACATGCCACGGAGAGATGGATTCTTTTCTACTGCTGCTACGCAGACTAGTTGCTGCAATCGTATTCAAAGGTCAAACC